CCAATTAAATCAAATCAGCTAACAATAGCAAGAGTTAAAAACGAAAGAAAGCAATACAGAAGCATCGCCTGTTTTGTTTGAAAAAAAGCATAATATGTTGATGGAAAAGAAATATATAAAACCCTGTGCTCTTTTCACTTTTTTCAAATATACATGGAACATGAAGAAGACAAAAATTCCAGAAGTAAAAAGGGCACAATGTGGTAAAAATGACAAAAAGATTATACGAAATATATATAATCAATTAGTATGTTTTTTAAGAAATTTAAATCCTCAGGTTAAAAGGAAATCTAAACTGAAATGACAGACTATCTAAAAATCAACCCAGTTGAGCACTGTGTAAGGAAAAAAAAAAAAAAAAACAACAACTCCCCAAAGAAAAATATACTAAGAACTGGAAGCAGCAAAGACAATTAGATACCATTTTGTTCGTCAAACTGATAGACACTGACAGGGTTGACAACAGCTCGTGATTCTGTGTGGGGAGGCAGGCTTTTGGTGGATGTGTAAATTACTGCAGTAACAAGAGGGAAATCTGAGGTCATATATTAAAATTTGCCTTCTAAGAACATATCCTAAGGAAATAATTGGACAACTGTTCAAAGATTCATGTATAAGGATGTTCACTGGAGTGAAAAACTGAAAATATTTACTTTATTAATAGGGGAGTAGAAAAATAAATTATGGTTGTGCCTACAACAGAATCCTCTGTAGCCATCAAACAGGATAAGGCTGATCTATATATATTGGCATAATAATATGATGATAGAGGATTAAACAGTAAATCAAAAGCAAGTCACTGAGCCATGCATAGAGATGATCTTGCTTTAGAAACCATGTTTACCGCAACTGCTTGGTGTATGTATTGCTGAGCAAGTAGAACAAACAGATCTCAAGGGTTATCTTCTGTAGGGTGTGTGGAGGAAACCAGAGTAAGATTAAGGGGACTTTTGATCTCTACAAATGTCTTTATTGTTTGCATTCTGAGTTTTTAAAACAAGTGTATTTTTTTAAAATATAGAAACATTCTATAAAGATATTCCCCTTTAAAAAAATAATAGATCTTACTCTGAATAAGGACTCAAACACAAATGGGGCTTTTTGTGTTTGTCTTAATTAGGTCTAATCATGAATTCCCTTAACTTTGCTGCTGGCTATTGAAGGGAGGGGTGTGGGGGGTACTGAAGGGGAGGAAGAGGGAGAGAGAGAAACAGGGAAGGAGGGAGAAGGAGGGAGAGAGAGGAGAGAGAGACCAGGCATGGGCACAGATGTGCGTGTGGACACCACACACACTGTCTGGGAAGGCCAGCTGGGCTGGGGCACTGAGCGAGAAAGGGAGAGGTGTCCTGTGGCTCATCTCCATCTTTTGGCTGCTCTCAGTGTAGCTGGAAGCCCCCTTCTGCTCCTTTGGCATCAGCTCCTTTGAGGCTGTGAGGCTGCCGGAAGCTTCCAGAGGGAGGACGGAAGCTCCCTTCACCTTCTGCCTGCTGTTCCCCATGTGGGGGCCTCGCACACACATTCAGCAGGCCCCATGACTTTATAGTCCTCACTGTGTCACCCTGCAGAGGATAGTCGGTGGCCCTGTCCTGATCTTCTCTTCCTGAGGGCCATGAAGAGGTCCTCCTGGCTCCCTTCTGGCTCACCCCATGCTCACCGTTCCCATAAGTGACAATGGTCCTCACCCCTGCCCAGAAATTCCATCATCGATTTCTTGTGCTCGCCTGTCAGCTGCTCCTAGATCCCTCTGCTGTCCTCTGGCCCTTGTCTTAAACCTTCCTTCCGGGGATGACGCTGCCTGTCTCGGGTATGCTAATGTCACTCTGTCGTGGAGGAGCACATCCTCTGCTTGAGAAGATGCTTGCCCAAGTACTTAGGACTGGAGTCCACAATGTACTCTTGAGTGATTCAGCAAAAAGGAAATAAGAGAGAATGCAAATATGGCAAAATATTCATAATGGCTGAGTCTAGGTGGTAGGTGTGCAGGTGCTCGTGTGCTGTTCTTTCAACTTTTCTGTGTATGTTACACATTGTGTGTTATGCAACAAAACCCAGGGTAACAGAAGAAACTGCACTTTCCCTATTTACTGAGGAGAGTGAGACCACTGGTGTGACCACTTCAGTGTTTCCTGAATTTTTCCCTTCTTGGACACCCCTACTACCACTGCCCGGGTTCCGGCTCCTTATCCCAACTACAATCTGGGGCAGCCTCCTCCTCGGACTCCCTGCCCCAGGCTGCCCCATTCTCCATGAGGTTGCCAGGATGGGTCCAAACCCAGCATCTCGGGCCAGGATGGGTCCAAACCCAGTCCTCGACCTTGACCCTCTGGCCACAGCCCGCTCCATCAGCTTTACCTCCCGCCGCTGCCCCCTGCTACTAGATCACAGCTGATGCTCCGGGCCTTGTGCCTGACCACACCGTGTCATTTCCCCCTCCGGCCGACCTTCCTCCCGGCTGCCTGGCTACGTCCTCTCCATCCTTCAGCTCTTGTGTCACCTTTGCCAGGAGAGCATCTCTGGCCTTCTGTCCTGCCTTTTGCTCTCCGCCCCTCCCTATCCTTCCACCTCCCTGTGTGTATGCACACGTCTCCCCTTTGCCAACCTGGGTGCCCGGGTCTCGATCACGTATGTGACGCCAGCACCTCGCCCAGACAACGCCACATGTTCAACAGACAGGTGGGTGTTACATGAATCAATGAATGAATGAGTGAGCGATGCTCCAAGGTAGGGAAGCAGGAAAGCCTCCTGATTTGCATACATGCACATTACCATGGAAGAGTCCTTATGCTCCTGATTCACTCACTGCTCACTTAACACTTACTGAGGGACTATCATGGATCTACTAGTCATATGATCCCCTTTTGGACCTGAGTCCTGCTTCATTCATTCATTCATTCACTCAGCACTGGACACTTGTGTAGCCAGGTGCGGAGAGCACTGTGCTGAGAGCCGGCAGACTTGCTGAAATGAACCGGGCAGAGACCACAGCTCTGGCCAGGCAGCTGTGGCAGGAGCACAAAGAGAGAATGAAAGTGGTCAGTGTCATAAGGGAAATGCAGGTCACGGGCAACGGGAGTTCAAAAGAGGGGGACATGACACCTAGGAGTCCGAGACAGGGGATCAGAAGACTTCTGGGGTCTTGACTTTGAGGGATGGGGAATTTCAGACATAAGCCTTTGGAGGGAGGAGGGCATTGCAGGGAGGGCCGAGTGGAAACAGAGGCACAGAGCGAGGCCATGAGCGTGGACATGCACAGGAGCCACCAGTCGCTCAGCTCTGCCGGAGTGTCCCTGGAGTGAAGGGGTGGGAAATAAGGTTGGGCAGGTCGGTTGAGGTCACGAAGGCCTTGAAAACAAGGATAAGATGTTTAGCTTCTGTGAGCGTGGGTGTCATGGAAGGTTTCTAATTAGCAGGTGAGCTGGTCAGGTGTGCTTCCAGAAGCTTACTCCAGCAGCAGTGTGCAGGATGAATTTGTACATTTAACTTGTCCCCCCAATAGTGCAAAACCCCTAAGAGCTCTGCTGACCTCATTCTGCACAGGGCTTGGCTCAAAAACGTGCACATAGCAAATACTTAATGCATTTATTTAATTGTAACTGAACTGAGTCTAAGGACCCGTCTGTGTACAGCAGCAAAGACACAAATGTCTATATCTCTTGCAGCAAGGTACCCATTCCGTCCATTCCCTTTAACTGAAAACTCTCTAGGGCACAATCTTCTCTAGCTACACTTCTCCTTGCCTTGGCTCCCCACTATTGCAAATCCTCAACATTTCATTCCTGGGTCACTGCGATAGACTTTTGACCAGTTTTCTTCCCGTGAGCTCTCTCCACTGTAAACGACCCTGGTGGGACAACCCTGCTCAAGAACCTACCATGGCTCCCTCTATTCTGCTGGCATTTAGGATCTTCTGCGACCATGCCGTACTTCAACCCTCTCTACCTCTCTTTCCTTGTCCACACGCCTCCCCCTCTCCAGCCAGACTCTGTCTCCTCTCCACTTGCCTTTTCGATCCTCCTTCCAGACCTCTGCTCGTCCTGCCACCCCAACCTGCTCCTTTCCTCACAGCTCTTCTGAACCACAGCTCAAGCAAGGCCCAGCTTTGCCGGCAGTGTGAATAGTGCGAAGATTCAGAAAAACCTGGGTTCACAGCCCAGCTTTCTGTGGGACTCACTGTGAGAACTGAGACACACTATGCATTCCCTTGGGATCTCAGTGTTCTCATCTATAAAACGGGACCAAGAGCAATGTCTATTTATTATTAGAACTTACTGTTAGTGAATAACTGATAAGAGGATAGATGTGCCAGGCCCTGTGCTGGGTAAATGGTGACGTTCCTTTCTTCTCTGACTTTCTGGAACCCTCAGAAATAAATCCTGCTGGTCAGGTGCTAGTATGGAAAGGAAGTTATATTTTGAGGGAGTGTGTATGAAGTATCAGACACTGCTGGGCTTTTGTAATTACTCCCTCTGCAACCCTCAAACACCAGCATTTTTGCCCTCACTTTACAGATGAGGACACGCAGACTGAGAACAGGAAACAATCTGGGATCATACCGCTCTGAGCAGACACTACTGTTCGAGAAATAACCACAGAAGTGTTCCTAGGAATTTACTATGTTCCCAGTACGATGCTGGGCGTGTTGCTGTCCCATTTAGTGCTTTCCCCCGAGACGCTGCTACTGTAATAGCAAATAAAGGCTGTGCCCAAAGTCTTGCAAACAGTAGGTGGCAGGGCTGGGATTCCTGCTGGGGTCCGTATGACCTCCAGCTCTGCCCTCAGCTACTCTTCCATGACTGTGCCATCGAGACCAGAGTTGTCTGAACCTGGACGGCAGCCCTGTGAGGCCCAGACTGGCCTCTCCAGGTTTTCCATGGGCCCCAGCCCGAGCCTGGGGTCACAGCGACCACTGCTGATCACAAGGGCCCCCAGGTGAGGTGGGCAGGGCCAGCCACTGGCTGAGTGGTCCAGCGACGATGCGGTGACTTTGTCAGCCGTGACACTTACCCGATGGTGCAACCAGCATCAGCCTCGATGGTCCAGATGCAGTTGAGATTGTGTTCATAGGGAGCCGGATACCCGGGTGATAGCACCTGCCCCGACACTTCTCCTTTCACTGTCCCTCCACACTCAGCTGAAAGAAATCCCAAAAAAGTGAGCTTTATGGGGTGGCCTGCATGGCCAGCAGTGACTCAGTGGCTCCTCCTGTCAGTGTGCCCAAGCCCCTCTTGTTCCCTCCAGGTGACTGAACACAGCATACAGAAAGGCCCCCAGATGGAACTTGTATCCACAATCTACAAAGAACACCTACAACTTAACAATGAAAAAGTAAACAGCCCGATTAAACAATGGGCAAAGCATCTGAACAGACATTTCTTCAAAGAAGGTATGCAAATGGCCAGCGAGCACACGGAAAGCTGCTCAACGTCATTAGTCATCAGGGAAATGCGAATGAAAACCACAGTGAGGCGTGCCTCATGTCCACAAGGATGGCTGCAGTCAAAAAGCCAGACAGGAAAAGTGTCGGTGAGGATGTGGAGAAACTGGGACCCATACACATGTGCTGGTAGGAAGGCAACAGGGCGCAGCTGCTTTGGGAAACGGGTTCACAGTTCCTCAAAATGTCGCACGTAGTCACCATAGGACCCTGCAATTCCACGAGTAGCACAGACCCAAGAGAATGAAAGCATACGTTCACACAAAAATGTGCACAGCAGTATGATGCATAACAGCCTAAAGATGGAAACAACCCAGATGTCCATCAGCCGATGGATGGGTAGGCAAATAGGGTGTAATCCATACAATGGAATAGTATTTGATCGTAAAAAAGGTGAAGGACTTGTACCTGCTACAACAGGAATGGACTTGAAAACATGATGCTAAGTTAAAGAAGTCAGACTCAAAAGGCCACGTATCATATGATTCGGTTTATATAAAATGTCTAGGACAGAACAATCTATAGAGACAGAAAGTACAGTGGAGGTAGCCAGGGCCTGGAGGGAGTGGGCAGGTGGGAGGGATTGCTAATGGGTGCAGGGCTTCTTTGGATGGACAAGATGTTCAAAAATCCCACGTGGTGACAGTTGCAAAGCCCTGGGAATAGACCAAAAAGACCTGAATTGTACACTTTAAAGGGGTGAAGTGTATGGGACGTGAATTGTATCTCAATAAAGCCATTTTTACAAAGGTCCCTGGGTGGATGGCTGACAGCCTACTCTGCGCCCAAACTCCTTGAAGCCTCCCTGGCCATGTGCAAGACACTTGAACCTGTGCCTTCAGCCATGGGGCCTGTGTGGGGTGCCAAGAATGTGGAGGCAAGCAAGACACTGCATCCTTCCTCCCGAGAGCTAATGGTCTAGAGGAGCAGACAGCCACCGCGGGTCCCAACAGAGGCACACTGGTGGTAGGTGACAGCTCAGAGGAGAAGTGACTACTTCCCCTCACATGGGGTAGGGCAGTCGTGGAGGAGGAGCAGGAGTGGATTGGGCTGGCTGGGTGGCAGGGGTGGGGTAGGGGGCACAGCAGGAGAGAGGAGAAAAGGCAGATGTCCTGGCGGTGGGCAACAGCGTGGTGGACGGGGGCTAGGGGAGAAGATGGGGGTGGGAGACAGGGCTGTGAAGCTGGCCCAGCGTCAGACGTCCAAGGGCGCCGTGCATGAGGCTAGTGTCTATGTACTCTGTTGGGGAAGAACTGGTCACCTTACATGCTAGTGAACTTTACACACTCTGGAAGCAGCCTGAAGGGCATGGAGGGACAGGAAAGGAGGAACTGGAGGCAGCGGACCAGTGCAGAGGTCTACACGCCCCGTTGGAGCACCTAGTCACCCAGGTCAGAAGCTGCTGATCCTCTGGCCTTCTTCCTCCCCATCTGATCTGCCTCCGAGACCCAGCCCCTGAACCTCTGGGGCGTCTGTTACATCGATGCCCCTCGGCCCCATTGCTAGAGTCTTGGCCTAGGCCCTGGCCATCTCTAGGGTGGCACAGTTGCCCACTCTCCTCCTAGCAGTGCCACGAGATGGATCTTTCTAGAATGCAAACTGACTGGGTCACTGCTTGCTTCAAACCTTCCTTCCTGGAATGAAGTCCAAGCCCCAGAGGGGCTCCCTTTGGCCTCTTGGGCCCCTTCCCGACAGCCCTCAGTCCAGTCAAGCCTCATGAATGCTATGAGCCAGGAACACGAGGCCTCTTCATGCCTCCACATGGACTGACAGCCTGAAAACATCTTCCCTGGGGAACCTTTCGTGGCCTCTCCCCTCCCAGGTAGAGTTGCTGCTGTCCTCCCTTGTGTCTCTGTTATAACATGAGCAGGTTTTTATCACAACACGTGTACCGTGTGACAGTCATGTCAGTCTCCTTCTCAAGACTCCAAACACCTTGGCAGCAGGGACCTCATCCTACTATCTGCACACCCAGTGCCGCTGTAGTGCTTGGCATGTCACAGATGTTTTAGTGTTTACTGAATGGGGAGATACATGGAGGATCAGATGAATAAGCGACACTTACTGCTTCCCAGGAAAATTACTATAAGGGTCTGAGTCAAGGGAGCATGAGTGAAAATGAAGAGCAGGAGATTTATTGTGGAGTTTTTCAGGAAAGGGGATGATTGAGCAAAATCCTTAGAAGAAACTGAAGAAGATGGGATCGAGGTCGCAGGTAGAAGATTGGCCTTCACCTTCGTTAAGCATCTCAAGAGCCCCATGGCTACACAGGGGAGCACTATGGCAGGGTTAGAAAGGAGGCACTCTCCTGAGACCGGATCCTTTGCTCCCGCCTTGTCACGAGTCCCCTCAGTGTGCTGTTGGGACAGGAGGTGCTTGAAGGACTCAGGGCTGAATGGGCCATGTTGAAGAGTGGGTGTGCGCAAGAGGACGGACCATGAGCTGGGGGGAAGGAAGCCTATCTGGCCCCACAAATAATGGTGGTAGTGGAGAGGTGGCAGAACATTATCCGTGCCCTTGGCTAGAGCTTCCTTCCATATTCCAGATGGAGAGGGCCCTCCTGCTCCCCTAAAGGTGAGTGTTTGGAGGCAGCATGGGCAGGGGGCGCTCTTCCTTACGGACACTACTGTTCCTTTCCTCCCGGACCTAACATCTGGGGGCTGGCACGTGGGTGGGAGGAGCCCAGAGGCCAGCAAGCTGCAGATGCATTGATAAGACCAGAAGACTCTACTCTTTCTTCTCTTTGCCCTTCTTCCCACCCTTAGAGTCTTGGCTGCTTCATTTGGGCTGCAGCGTCCACTCAACAATGAAGAAACAACCTTGGGATGTTTTAAGCTACAGTGGTCATTACTGCTAGACTGTGATAAAGTCCACCACAACATGACATATGTAAAAATATACACCTGCCACCCCAGATACACAGCTTCACTCCTCTATGTGGGGCCTGAGGGAGTCTCAGTGGGGAAAACCCCCGAAGTTCAAAACATAAGTACCCTTACTAGCACTGCTTGAGTGGATCTGCTAAGTTCAGCCCAACTGGCACATTTGATATTCAAAAGAACCTCACAGTGAATCCTTCCTGCAAAGCATGTAACTGTCTTGTAACGTGAATCATCTCCTTCCTATTTCACTTGCTCTAGCTTTCCTGTGGTATTACACTGTCATCTCTTTATGCATGTGTCCCCCTCGCTGGCCTGGGATCTGCCCTTGTCAGGGTTCCTAGTGCCCAGCATAGGGCCTGGCACATGAATGAAAGCAGGGGATAAAAACAGGGATGCAGGGAGAAAGGGATGGGGCACGCCTGCAGACTGAGCTGATCTTAAGCTCAGAGGGAGGGGAAGACTCTATAAGCTACTTAGAGGACGCCATGCTGGTTTGTCCACTGTCAAGCTTAAATCCTCTCCTTCAGGCCCTCTGTTCTGTAACAGTGTTGAAGATCCTGTTAACATCGAGCTGTCTAGGGGAAAAGAATATTGGTCATTACCACTGCCCACCATGCTGCTTCACCCCTCCAGCCCTCACACATGCTCAGGCTAGAAGCCCAGCCCCCATCCTCCCCTCCTGCTGGTAAATTCTTACCCTTCCTTTCCTCATGTTTCCCTAACACTTTGCCCATAAGTCTCTGCACGGTGCTTATCTTGTATTATAATTATCTGTTTATGTGTCTATTTGCCTTGCTAGGCTATAGGCTCCCAAAGGGCAGGGGAAAATGCTTTATTCCTTCTTTTTTTTATTTCTCTGCTTCTGCACATACCCAAACATATAACTGCACCAATTCTGGTGTGTGGCGCTTGGTAGGTACTTAAATGTTTTCCCAGTGGATGTTTTCTTCTTATAAGATTAGCCGGGGCTGTACAGCAAACATGCTGAGGTTGTGGCACCAGGGGAAGGGGATGGAGGGAAAGGCCTGGTGTTTGGCAATGGGGAAGCAGGACAAAGCAGGGTGGTGGGAATCTTGATCAGCAGGGAGGGTAAGAGATGCAGTGAGGTGGGTGGTGAGAGAGGAAAAGGCCAGACCGACGGAATGACAGGTTCTGCCTACTTCATACTCCTGCTTTGGACCAGGCTTCTCTCATCCTATGACACATGGAGAAAGCTTAGAGAGAGCCTCTGCTGACATTCTGGAAGCACTGCAGGCTTAAGAAGGTGCTGGTTCATTATTATATTCTTTCTCAAGAATGAGATAGATGCTTGCTCATTACCTTACTCTTTCTTCCAACTTCCCCCAGAAAAGGGGGCATAAGCCCCATTTTGCCTATGGGGAAGCTGAGGCCCAGAGGGAGTCGGAGGCTTGTTTGAGTCTGGGTGCTGCAGGAACCCTTGGAACCCAGGCAAGTGCTCCACCTCTTCCTACTTGACGCTCCCCCCTTTTCTCTGTCACCAGCATTACAATTCTGAGGGCATGACTTGGCTGTGGGCCCACTTGGCTCAACATGTGACAGCGGCAAGCCCCCCACCTGAGTGTGCTGCTGCATGGGCATAATGAGGTGTGAAAGTGAGGGAACGGAGAAGGGGGGCAGGGCGAGTGTTGGCTCCTGTGAACAGCGGCGCTCAGTCCAGCTAGGCAGCCCCAAGGTGCTGGAGCGTGGGGTCCAACGGGAGAGCCTTCTCGAGACCAGAGCTGGGAGCCTGGGACTTGGAGGGGGGGCCCGAGTGGTCACTCGAAGAGCAAGAGGCCTCCTACCGACACAGGTGGGGAGAGGCCGGTCCCAGGTCCTGCGCTCCCCACTCAGACACAGCAGCTCCTCACTGCCCCGCAGGCTGTATCCAGGGTCACAGCTGAAGGACACAGAGCTTCCTGCAAAATGGCCTCCGTCCTGAACCTTGTAGCCAAACTGGGGAGTTCCTGGATCCTCACATTTGATAAGTTCAAAACCTGTCGAAGAGAGGAGAGAGAGGGTAAGCAAGACCCGGCGTGGCAGAAGCCACACGCCCTTTCCTCCTTCAGTGTGAAGCCCATGTCCTCACAGAAGCCACCAGGCACGTGCCCCTGGCTTCCGCCGGCCTCACTGCTCGGGGGGGGCCCCACATGGCTGTGCTCAAGAGAGGTGCAGCGTGCAGGATTCGCTCCCGGCTGTGGCGTGGAAATGGCTTCAGCTCTTTCTCCCAGGACAGCTTTTAATAGTTTTTAGACACAGGGTCTGGGTTTTCTATTTCCTTTGTTTGACCCCCAGAGTGTTTTGTTAGCAGGGCTGCTCTTTCCATCTGGCTCGCTGAGACATTCTGATGGGATCTTGTAATAGGGAAACGTCACTTGAAATGCATGTTTCAAAGTTCAATTACGTCCTGTTTAAATACAGTCTATTGAGAAAGGCTGGAGAAGGCTTATGCAGAACGTCTCCACAGAGCACCTGCTATAGGGCGCTTCACGTTCCTTATCCACAGCGGTCTTGTAGGGAGGGGTAATGACCGAGAACACTGGCCTGGTTCAATAAATGGTTCCAAAGTCACACATTCTTAGACGATGGAGATGGAACTCGCATGCCACTTTATTCAATCCTCTTCCCCTGATGGGCCTGCTATACCAGGCACAGACTCTTAGGCCAGATGGCCTAGAGCCCAGGTAAGAGGAATCTTGGGTGGATTCACTGGTTTTCTAACAGCTTTATTGAGATAGAATTCACATACCGAACACTCGCCCATCTGAAGTGTTTGATGCACTGTCTTTTAGTATATTCGCAGAGATGTGCAACTATCTTCACAATCAACTTCAGGGTCTTTTCATCACTTCTAGAGAAACCCTATACACACCCCCCCTTGCCCTTGGCAACCAAAATTTCCTCTCTGTCTCTATGGATGTGCCTACTCCAGACAGTTCATATAAATAGATCATATAACACGTGGCCTTTGTGATTGGCTTCCTTCACTCAGCAGTGTTTTCAAGGCTCATCCATGGTGTTGCATGGATTAGCGCTTCATTCCTTTTTGACAGCTGAATAACATTCCATTGTACGGATGGGTACATCATATTTTGTTTAGCCATTTATCAGCTGATGGATGCTCATTGGATTTTAAAATAACCTAGAAAAGCACATTTCTTGGCATCTCCTGGGCAAGTACAGGAGCTCAAATCAATGAACACAAGGGCCGTGAAGCCCAGGTGTGGAGATGTAATCCCAAGTACCCTGGGGCTGTGCACAAATCTGGGTGCTTTCCGTTTTTGAAATCTCAGGAAAGCTAAGACCACGAAAAAGGGAAAGAATCAAGACTGAAGTCTTTAGGGAGTAATGCAAAAGAACATAATTACACATTAGCATTTGCATGTTTTACATCTGGCTGTAGCCGAACCTTATTTTATAAATGCCGTGATTAGGAAAGAGGCTTTGTTTGGTTGCTTTAGTTAAAAGCCTCAGTGTTTATATTTTGGAGGTATTAGTGAGTAACAGGTGTGCGTGACTCTCAGTTAACCAGAGATGTAAACCTTAGAGTGGATGCCAAGTGGCTGCTTACCCAGAGCACAGGCACAAGGTCTCAGAGAAAACAGTCCACTCAGCATGCACCAGTCAGAGAAAACCGAGCCTCTTAAATGAGGGGTGACGTCCCAGAGCCCGACCTCCCTGTTTGGGGGACCAGGGAAAGCTTGACTTCATTGTCCACTCTGACGCAAGAAGGACTTACTGGAAAATTGCAGCTCAAAGCCCTTGCTGGTGTTCTCAGCATCAGTGATGAAATCAAGCCACAGACTGCTGGATGTGCTGTTCAAAGTCACCCCCACCATCTCCGAACGGCTGAACACCCCCAGCAAACGGGCGGAGTTGTTGTTGCCGTCGTAGACCTGGATGTACGAGAGACCCCCGACCCGATGTCAGCACGGCCTTATTTTGAACAACAGCTTTTCATCCCATAGCCTACATTCCCAGACTTTAGCACCAATGCCGACTGTTGGAGGGGCCGCGAGCATCAGACTCAGGGAAGATGGCACAGGGAGCCAGCGACGGAGAGGGTGATCAGCCCCTCCTGTCTCTACTGGGTGCCATTCTGTGCCCAGCCCATCTCAGTGTGAATCTGGTCTCTAGGAACTGCTTGCTGTTCTAACCTTTCCAGTGGAGCTCTGCTCTGTCCCCCAACCCCCAGATGGCACCAGCTTACTCTTCAGCAGCCTGGGGAGGCCAGGATGGGGCTGCCTGAAGGCCCAAGCCATCTGTCTCTGCAGACAGGCACACGGAGAGCGTTCGACAGCTCTGCATTGCTAAACAGTCCTGTCCTTCCAGATGAGACAACTGTCCTTCTGCCTAACCCCACTGCACTGTGGCAGTGGCCTGTCTTGACTACTCTTCTAGACATGGCCCCCGGGATCCAGCAGCACAGAGTAAAAATGACCAGCGTGTCATGGCGCCTTTCCTTTCCCCAAGCTCACTCTTCCCTCCTAAAATGAGGGCTCCGGCAAGGGCCTGCTGGGCTTGCCAGGGGTGGAATCGTGCAGGCATCTGGCTTCCCCAATGCCCATCTGTCCCCTGAACTTCTGAGCACTAGCAAAGACAACAATCATCAGAATAATGAACTGGCTCCCCAGGTTCTGAGGTTGTTGCTCCTTTCCAGATAATTGTACAAATAACAACAGAAGTTGTGATTGAGTGGAGGACCCCCCTGGTGCTCTGGTAAATATCAAAGATGGGATCTATGGGTGGGTGATGAATATTTGTGCATGGCGCACGATGTGATGCCAGCTGTCAGCAAATTGGAACAGTATTTCCATTCTACTATTTATGAAGCAAAGCTTTCTAAAAGAAGCCATCCTTCAAGCTAACAGTGCTGTATATTACAGAGACTTGCTCAGGCCCCTGGGAGCCTCAAGTCTGTTTCCAGATTCCATGTACCACATCACTGATAGATTGAGAGAATTCTGGAGTTCCAACAGACAGAGAGATGACACCAGTTCAAAGAGTTTAGCCCACTGGGGCATCCAAGTTGCTAAATAAAAATATTTGTACCCATGAATGCATATTGAAATTAACTGATCAAGGTGTTAATCATCAACACTTGCTGACATCACAATAGGAGAAACATAGAGAAACAACCAGATAACATGAACACCACTACTTATGGAGTCATTTTGTTTAAAAAAAAAAAAAGAAAGAAAGAAAGAAAAAGAAAGAAAGAAAGAAAGAAAGAGAAAAAAAAAATCAAGCCTGAATTGTATCAAGTCACTGGATCCAATTTTAACTTATAGCAAATACAGAGGACGGAGGGATATATGAAATGATACTCTGGGAATATGTTTGGCAAAACCCAGAATATGAAAAATTCCACTGGGCAAGTTACCTGACTTCCTCAACAAATAAATTACAAGGGATGGAGGAAAAAAAGAAGATGGAGGCAGAAACCTATTGATTAAAAACCGTACGAGACAACCAGTTCAATGTATGGGCCTTATCTGGATCCTGATTCAAAAAACTGTATATTTAAAAAAATATTAGAACGTTTATAAGATAATGGGAAACTTGAACATTCGTTGGATATATGATGATGTTAAGAGATTGTTGTTAATTAATAAAAGTATAATGGGAACAGGATTATTTCCTTAATTTCCAAGCATAATTCATTCTAATTCATTAAGGACAAAAATGTTCATAATGTGTCATTATGATAAAATATTCATTGCAGAAAACTTAAAAAAACAGAAGAGCACACAGAAGGTAAAAACAACTTTCAGCACTCACAACATTTTGGTGACTATCTTTCCAGGCTTTATTCTATGCATGCTTTTCCTTATATATATTTATTTCTTTATTTTTTTATATAAAAACAAGATCCAACTATAGATACTACATGGTAACCTGATCTTTCACTTAATATAATGTGCATATTTTTTAAGCATTAAATATTTTTCCCCAACGGCATTTAAATAACTTAAGGAATTTTCATCATAAAATTAAACCAACCCACACTATACTTACTCACACATCATTGTCCAGAATGTGTGCCCAGGCAGATAAGAGGCATTCAATAAAAGTATGATAATTAAATAAACCAACGTTTTCTTCTAGTACTTTTGTCTTTAAGTCCACCTGGAATTTACTTAGGCATATGATAGGAGATAAGAGTCTACTTTTTTCTCCTTGATTGATTAGCCATTTAACCAAACACTATAAATATTCCATTCACCACCAATTTTAAATTCACCTTTATCACATATATATCACATTATATACATTTGGTTTTGTCTCTCAACTTTCTATTCTATTCTATTTCTATTTGCTACCTATTTGTCTTTTCCTGTGCATGACCCACACCATTTTAGTTATCATAGTTTTATAATATACTTGAATATTTAATAGGGCAAGTCCTCTCTCATTTGTCCTTCTTTTAACTTAAAAAATTTATTCTCACTTGTTTATTTTGCTAGATAAACTCAAGATGAACTTCCTTAAATTAAAAAATAAAAAACACCTCCTGCTCCCCCCTGCCAAGAAAAACCCCAAGACAACTTGTGTAATTCTGATTGATTAACATCATAGGTATGGGTTAGTAAGAGAAAAAGTCCATCTACATGATATTGAATTTTCTTACTCATTTTTTGGCATCTGGCTCTATTTAATCAAGTTGTTTTGTATGTCTCTCAGTAAAATTCTGTATTTATTTTTGGGTATTCTAAAATTTTTTATTGCAATTGGGAATTGGGCCATTGTCTACATTTATTTTCTAACAGAATACTGCTTGTCTATAAGAATGCTCTGATGGTCCAATTCCTCATTATATACTGGGGATGAATCGGTCTCTGAGAAATCCGAGACAATCCATACACATCTGTTACACCGAACCTTCTTTCTTTCTTCTTGCTCTATTAGATGTTTTTATTTTCTTCATGTTTGTTGCAGTATAATTGACAAATAAAAATTGTATATAATTAAGGTGTACAACATGATATTTTGATGCACATGTACCATTACATCTGATATGACAGTTCAGTGAGATTTAAGAGTAACTACACTAACAGCTTTGTCCACACAGTTACAAACAATGCAAACATTCCATGGTCGGACACTGCTACATGTCTGCTTGCACAACTGCTTGAGTTATTCTAGGGCATATGCCTCCAATGGAGAAGCTCGTTGCTGGGAAGGGGAATCCTCAACTTCGTTAGATATTGCCAGATTGCTCTCCAAAGAGTAATACAAATTTAATCTCTCACTGACACTGTATGACAGCTTTCATTGTTTTGTATCTTCGCCAACACTTAGTATTTTCAGGCATTCTAATTTTTCCCAATTTGATGGGTGTGAAATGGTATCTTGTTTTAATTTGTATGTCTTTGGTTATCACTGAGGTTGAGCACCTTTTCATGTGTTTATCCATTATTCTACTTTCCTCTTATGTGAATTTCTTGTTCATATCCTTTGTTTATCCATGAATATGAAACCTCCCTGCATTTCGGTTTTATGTCCTTCAAAATAAAATTTCATAGTTTTTTCAGTAAAGATTATGCACATTTTTTAGACTTATTCCTAGGGGTTTTATAGGTTTTCTTCTATTATGAATGAGATCTTTTTTTTTCTGATTATGTTTTAGTTGGTTGTAGACACATCAGCCACTTTGCTGAATTGTCTTATTGTTTCTGTTGGTTAATCCGTCAACTCTTCTGTATTTTCTTTTTTTTTTCTTTTTTAAAGATTTTATTTATTTATTTGAGAGAGAGAGAATGAGAGAGAGAGAGCACATGAGAGGGGGGAGGGTCAGAGGGCGAAGCAGACTCCCCGCTGAGCAGGGAGCCCGATACGGGACTCGATCCAGGGACTCCAGGATCATGACCTGAGCTGAAGGCAGTCGCTTAACCAACTGAGCCACCCAGGCGCCCTCTTCTGTATTTTCTAAATAGAAGAGACAACTTTATGTATTCCTCTCTAATTTTTATAGTTTCTTTGTTCTTTCTTTGATCTGATTGTGATGGCTTGGATCTGCAGCAAAATGTTGAATACAATGGTGATAGCACAACTCTGGTCTTGCTCCCAACTGTACTGGGAACCTTAGGAAGTTCTGTTATTAAGAATAATGTTTGCTGGGCCCCTGGGTGGCTCAGATGGTTACGCGTCTGCCTTCGGCTCAGGTTATGATCCCAGGGTTCTGGGATCGAGTCCCGCATCGGGCTCCCTGCTCCTTGGGAGCCTGCTTCTCCCTCTGCTTCTCTCTCTCTCTCTCCCTCTCTCTCTCCCTCTGTCTCTCGAATAAATAAAAAATCTTTAAAAAAAAAAAAGAATAATGTTTGCTATAGGTGTTGGTAGGAAATTTTTATCAGATTAATAAAGTTCTCTTCATAGTTTTGAGATATTTTAAAATCATGAATGAGTACTGAATCTCATCATGTGATGTTTTGGGGTGTACTGGGAGGATTACGTATTTTTGGCTTCTAATCTGTTTATAGGATATTAGGTTGAACCACATGAAGTTGCCAATATGTGACCAGTTTTGACCTACAAAAATGTCAGTTTCATAGGGTTTGCTTACTGTGTAACACTGTGAGCTTTTCTAATACTGACACATCCTCACATTCCTGGAATCAATCCCGCTTGGTCATTTTTGCTTTCATACACAGCTAGATTCAATACGACATTGTATGTAGGGTGTTCAGATCTATGATCATACGTGACTGGTCTAATAGTTTGTTCTTCTATGGCTCTTATTCAGTCAGCTATCAATATTTCTACTTGCCTCATTTAAATAAAATGAATGAGGAGATAGATGCCAATTTTTCTCTTTTCCGAGTCAGTTTGATTATCGCAGTATTAATTACTCCTTGAATTTTTGTTAGTTTACTTGTAAAATAGTCTACGCCTGGGGCCCTTGAGACAGGATGGGGGGAGTCAAAATTTTTAAGTATTGGTTTATTCAGATTTTTATCTTTTCTTGATATTAGTACTTTTTAATCTGTCAAAATGTCCATTTCAGATTTCTTAGCTTATAGTTGTTCCTAAATATTTCCTGTTAGTTTCATAATCTCTACCTCATCTCTAAGTATGTTCCTTTTTCCGTTCCTAAAATTATATAATGGTGGCTTCTTTATTCTTTGATCAGTCCTGCAAAATTTGTGATCTTTAGTAGCTATTTTTCAAGGAACGAGTTGGTTTTATTGACAATTGCTATTGCTTTTTGGTTGTATTTTTTTCGGTCATTTTTGACTTTACCTTTAAAAAAGGCTCTTTCTCCTACTTCCTTTGGATTTATTGTTATATAATTCATGCTACCCAACTCCTTATTTATTTTTAACCTAGGTGATGCATCAGAGACTAACAGAGGTATATTGAAATCTTCCACCATGACTGCAACTTTATTAAAATTTTTTTTACATTTCCTGTAGTTTTTATTTAATTTATTCATGCTATGTTATTTGGCACATAAAGTTTGACTGTAGATTGATTGTACATTTTATTAACATAAAAGAATCCTCTTTTTAATTTCCTTATGAGGTGTGAGAGATGTTCTCAAAGTCATTTCATAATAAACCGGTTTCATTTTTCTGTGCTTTACCCTCTTCCGTTCATTGCCTCCATCACATTTTTTAATTGGGTGATCATGTTTCTCATCTTTATTTAATCTTTCCTCATCTCAGATTGCTCTGTTTTCATTAATGCCTATTTTTGTGTCATAAATATAAGATTCTCCCAAATCCTGTTAAGAATACAAAGCAGGAGCTGTTTTTAAAGTTTTTCTTCTTTGTTGCTTACAGAGGGGCAATTAGCTCTGACTCTTCAGACAGGTCCCCTTCTTCTGATCTACGGACTATTTACACACATTCAGTTAATTTTCTTGTTAGCACACCATTACAGCGGGAGCATAAAAGAGGGGAATGGAAATGCCCAGTGGTCTCTGGAGGAGAGTGGAGGAATTACACAAGAATAGGCCATCGCAGGAGCTTTCCAGTCTCCTGGTGCTGAAGTGTGTGTGTGTGTGTGTGTGTGGGTGTGGTGCCTCTTTTCTAATGCGCCTGACCACTCTTGTTAGGCACCAACCATAGTGTTGCCCTACTTCATCTGGCTTGCCAACAAAAGCCACATGAAGCCCAGAATGTCCCGCCGAGAGGGAATGGTGGCTCTGTGTGTTCTCTCAGACCTAGTACGCTTCCAGAGGAACCAGTGGTGTGGACATCTGGTCCCTGCCAACGGGGCCATGGCGTGTCCTCGCTCCAGGCTCTGCTGCTCTGAGCTAGGTGGCCGGAGATGCGTTTTTCCTTCCGGTTTCTAACACTTCATCCACAGTCAGGATTTCACTTCGCTTACGTGAATCACAGTTTGATTGGGCCCTTTCTCAATCTGAACTCTTTTCTGGATATTCCATTTGGCAAAAATTCCTTTAAGTGATATGTGAATGGTACCCTTGCCTAATTTCCAGTGCTGAGGCCACAGTCCTCTGCTTTTACATCTTTTTAGTCATTTCAGTGGGGACCGGCAGAGGACGAAGTTATATATATATATATATCCATGTGCTTCATTTGGCATCTTGAGCTGGAAGTCGTCTTTCCATTCTATTGCAATTTAAAGGTCCTTCCTGTCTTGCTGATGTCAGGTCAAAATTTTGGTGGGGGCCAAAATAAAAGGAATCAGTTCTGGGAGAGAAGCTGAAGTGTGAGCAGGGATGCAGTTTAAGGAATTTTCAGTTATTAAAGGTAAGAAACAGATCAGGGGTCACAAACACAAGCAAAGAGTCATTTCATGGGTCAGAAATACAAGACTATAAAATTTGGAGGGTTGGTCAGATGCATAGAGTATTGTATCTTGGGCAATAAATAAAGTGTGGAGGAGGTGACAGGTATCCTTGGTCAGGAGCTCAGGTGTGCACTGGGGTTTCTTTGGAGGAACAAGAAAGTCCTCAGGATTAGGAATCCACCGGTGTTCTGGCAGGTGGGTGAATTCCAGAGGGGTGAGGGCGAGGGCAAGATATTCTTGGAGCTGACTACTGCTCTGGGCAGCTCCTGCACATGTTCCTGTCAAGGTAGACCAGAGTGACACGCTGACCCAGCAGTGCCCGGCAGCTGACATGGCTGCAAGGCTGTTCTGAATCCTATTTGGGAAACCATAACCGTGGGTTTCTCTTAGTTCTGAAACAGTTCTGTACCTGTTCATGTCCCAGGTTCTCCACCCTGAGGAGAAGACTTAGAACAGGAAGGGGTTCCGGGAAACCACCCCATCTCCCTGGGTGCCTTGCCCTCCCTTCCCCAGACCCTGTTCTATAGAAGTTCTGGGGGTCCCGGGGTCCCGTGAGTGGCTTTTCAGCCAGGTCAGAGATACAGCCTTCTGAGGAGGACACTACAGAAGCCTGAACACAGGAGGAAGAGGGTCTTCTTCGACAAGAAGGCTGAGCCCACTATTAGAAGGCTGGGTGGTAGGGCCAGCTGGTCAGGGAAGTCTGGGAACATCCCCCTAAGATACAGGAATTCATTCCCATCTCTCCACAACCCTGCAGGACTACCTGGGGTTCTATCTCCTACACTAGTCCTCCCTGACCTCTGACCTGGGTTTTACAGCCCATGTCTCTCCCTTCTTACCCTGAATGCCTCAGAAAGTCTCTCTTCTGTCTTTTGAGCTGCTTACCTAATCCCGAGACAGCACTGGGACAGGACAGTTGGGTGTGTGCACCTGTTGACTATATGTTAGGTGCTTCTCTGAATCTAGACCACCGTGGGGAAGAAGCTCAGGCACCAGCCATTACTCCGTGTGACCTCTGGCAGCCAAGGAACCCTCTGGTCCTATCAGGCCAGACACAGAATTGCTGCTATAGACTCCCTTCAAAACCTGAAACTTAAAAGTTACGTCTCCAAAACTCCTTTTTCTGCAGGGCTGACGACAGCCTTCATGCAAGAAGGGCTCTGCATTGCATCAATTTCATCTGCAGCACTGGAGAGAGGAAGTCACTATGGCCTTGCTGGGCCCGGTTGTATCCTCTGAGGCTCCGGTGTGGACGATGAACACATAGATGGAGAGAGGTGAGGTCCAGGGGCTGCCTGAAGACATGGCCCTTGGAAATTATAAAATCTTGTCTATTGCTCGCTTAAAAGGAGATGCACTGTTTTTCTGTCTGGGGAGCTCAGAGGTTGCAAAGTAGAGCTTAAGAAGCCAGTAATTAGGCCCTAATCCCCACTCAGCCACTTCGCATATTCTATTTCAGGTATATCCGGTCCCAACCAGTCATCTCATGGGCTTAAGGATAACCAGGTAAGAGTGAGAAACACCTTCCAAATGCACGCGCACACACCCCAGAGAACACATGCCCCGGAGAGTGAGCATAAAATGCACCGTACACTCATCATATCTAGAGAGAATCCTAAGGGATGGGGATTATTTAATTCTTTCTCTTTGGGTTTTCCAGAGTAGTGACCTCTGATTGTTTCTAATGTCAAGACTTCTTGGGCTGCAGGGAATAAAACTGTATTAGGAGAAGCTAAAAAAGTTTCTTGGCATAGGATGAAAATGGACACACTCTGTGTGAGATTTTCCTTATAATCCATTTCAATAAGGCAGCCTTGGATAAACTCTCCAGAGTCCATTCTTTGATCATACACATACTCACACACCACATATTACTGGAGATACACATGAATCACCTACGTACAAGGACATGCAAATCATATGTGTGCTCAGTGTCGTAACAATTCCCTTTCTATAATCAAGTCCCAACCCCTCTTTGCCTGACATGTAATTTGAATCCACTTTCTTTAACCCCACTGCCACACATGGGCCATCACCATGGCACAATGAGCTACTAACCTACCGAAACTTATATGCAAAACATCCCCAGGTGTGCACACACATAAGATACACTGAGACACGTATGCGCACACACAGGTCCCTTAAACCAAGCCAGTACCTAGACTTAGATTCACACACATGTGGAAATGTAATAAAAGGATCTACATCCATAAACACGTGTCTACACAAATGCACATGCATATTCTATAAGCTCTTCACTATCCAGCTTGATGGTCACAGTTCATGGTAAAAAACCTGATCCACTGGCCCCTCCAGCTGAATTTATGATGATTTATCACACAGTCAGCCTGTTCTCTACCACACATGTATTTGAGAATAGTCAGCTCTGAAGCAAACTCGAAAGCCACATTCTTAGACCCTCACAGACCCTTCTCTTTCGGGTTCCTACCTTCTCCCGGATGAGTGAGGACAATACCCTGGAACTCAGGACGGAAGATGAACATTTGGGTCATTCCCACAGAAGTAAATGAGTAGGTGCTGAGCGCACTGTTGCCTACTGTCACTTACATCCTCTATGAGATCTATTGGTTTTACCTTGAGGACATCTCCTTCTGACAGTTCAAACGTCCTGGCTTTAAGCTGAATGCCTTTCCCCGGCTGGGTCTGGATGGAGTAGATGCATTCATGGTTGTTATTGTAGTTCACAGGAAAGTTGGGGGACAGCAATGTGCCCTGAGTGCCCGTGACTGAATTCCCACACTCAGCTGGAAAGAGAATCACAATAATCACCGATTAACCCCCATCACCTACATCTAGAAAACAACTCACAGCGCTGGAGGACCTTACAAGGATGACACATTGTTTGCCTTTCCGCCTGCCCAAATGGCTGGTTATCTGTCCATTCGTCTGCCTGTCTGTGGGACTGCTTATCAAAGTTTTCTAACATATCTGCCCACCTGTAGTTTTGCCCCGTTTCTTTATCTCTCTTGTTCTGTGTGTCTGTCTCTCTTCTGCAGGAATAGAAATGAACCCACCAGGCATCCTGTACTTTCTTGGTGGCCTGAGGCAGCCCTTCCCCACACCTGTTCATCTAGTATCATAGCAACAGAATGGCTGAGGAGGATGTCAGGGGCGGATGGAGGTGGTGAGGTGAGGAGAGACGAATCCTTTCAGTATCAGAGGCTAGAAATCCAGAGGGGTCAACGTTGAATAGTTATTGCTAGCATCTTCCAAACTTCAGTCATTAGTCACAACAACCAATCCCATAAGGTAGGCATAATTATCATCCCTATTTTAAAAATAAAGAATCTGGTACTTAGCAGTTCAGATCAAGTCTCTCCATTTACCAAGAGGAGGGGGCTGAGAATTCAACCCTCCTGGTCTTGGAGTTTAAGGCCACCGAGGCTTTGGAGAAAGTTTTAGCATAGACCCACTGAAACCCTGTTTCATTCAATAGCTAATGAATTCACAGCCTCCTCTCGACATCTTTTTCTCCTCCTCCAGAATTAGGCCTTCTTTCCCCATTGTTCCCGTACTTTTATTTATAGCAGTCATCACATTGTATTTCACCCATTTGTTAACATTTCTGTCTCTTCCACTGTCAGTCCTTTAGGGCTGGGTGCTAGTTCTCTCTCACCAGCCCCCACCCAGTGCCTGGGCGGGTCAGGCATGAGCAGGTGAAAGGGGAGGGAGCTCAGTGGCAGCGCATGGCTGCAGAGCCCCACAGCTGTCTCTCTAGGGTCTTTAATAGTTGTAAAGCCCCTCCCTGTGCTTCCCTGTATCAGAGCATCTGTCACATTGCACCCTGACTGCTTGTTACTTGCCTGTAGCCCCCACAAAATGGGAGTTACTTGAAGGCTAGGGTCATGCTTAATGAATCTAAACTTCCAAGGCTTAGCCCAGATTGTCTGTAAAATAAATATTTGCAAAATGAGTGAATGAATGAATATGGAGGACACAGACCTCAGAAGATGTACAGTCCTAAAAATAATTAGGTTCCAGAAGGATGAAAACACAAGTCCAGATGGCAGGCACATTACTTGTCTGGACATATGGGGAATTGGGAGCACATCTTGAATCTCTGAGGTTGATGGTAGCAAGTCTGCTTTCTCCAAACCATCCCTCGGTGTCCCTATTCTAGGCACAGTCATTGGTGGAAGGTTGTCCCTGAGGTCAACCAATGGGCCACACAGTTAACCCTAATTGTCCTAAACCTGAAGTGTACTAGGCCAAGGCCGTGTAGTTGGAGCTTGTGATATAGGGACATTCAGAGTTGAACCTCTTGTGGTCTTAGTTATACCCTTGTGTGTTTTCTCGTCCCCAGGGCTGCTCCTTAGACCTTTGAAGACAGTGTCTGTGTCCCACAAGTCCTTACTATTTCAATGGGCCCTGCTCCCTGGGCTCTGGCCAGTTCAGGACAGCTTCACTTTCCTAGGAGTTTACATAAGCCATTCCAATGCACTGAATGTTCGTGGCCTCAGGCCAAATCCATACGTTGAAGCCCTAATCTTCAGTGTGATGGTATCCTCAGGAGGGCCCTTGGCAAGTGATTGGGGTTAGTGACCACACAAGCTGAGGAAATGACCAGAGCCCTCTCTCTGCCTTGTTAGGACAGGAAGAAGGCTGCTGTCTGCAGGCTAGGAGAGGAACTTCACTAGATACTGAATCTGTGGGCATCTTGATCTTGGACTGTTTGGGCTCCAGAACCATGAGAAATAAGTATCTGGTGTTTAAGCCACCCATGGTATTTTCCCACAGAGGCCTGATCATTTGTCTTAGAGCCTGTCTGCAAAGTGTCCAAATGTGCATAATGAATATGCTGAGCTGGGGTATATGACTAAAGTGATAGTTGTGGACAGGCACCCTGTGGACATTTTCTGGGGGCCCGGAGACAAGGGCGGGGATTTGGGGAGGGATGCTAAGGGCTGTGCACCTGTATTACTCAGTCTTATCACATGGGCAGCACCCTGAAGCAGCTCTCCATTATTTCTGGAGTCACACACTATTCCCCTCCATCTAGGGAGAGGCATGGGGAGCAGTGGGAGGGGCACGGACTTCGGAGTCAGACAGCCTAGTGATATCAACGCTCTGAACCTCGTTCTCTTCATCTGCCTTCATCTGGGCAATAATAGCAACCACGTAAGACTATAGAGAATAAATGCATGGGATTTTATGATAAAACAAGTGAGCATGTGGGGAGTGGGGAGCATATAGTAGGCTCTCAACAAGTGTTATTCCTCCTCTCTTTCCCCATCTATCCCAAGTGAATCTATGCGGCTTCCTTGATTCCATCTGGAGCCCTAAGTGCCTGTGCTCTGGGTCTGGCAGAAAGCCTGAGAAGCTTCTTAGGAAGTGTGCATTAGCTGCCTGGTGTTCACAGCACACTCACTAGTCTGATGCCTCTTGCCCTCTGCCTAGTTCCTAAATTTGGCTTAAGCCAAATTAAGCATGGGCTTTGGCATGTTATTGGACACCTTCCCTGGCCTTGGCTTCCTGCACGATAGCTCTGAGGCCGCCGCTGCCCCAGCATGCCCGTCTCCTCTCCCACACAGCCCGACACCTTGGTGAGGGGAGACACAGAACTAGTAGCTTGAGATGGGGCCAGTCCTTGGCCGATCACCAGGGCCTGACTCCCTGCCAGGGCCTTTGTCTTGGGCACCAGGGAAGGTACAGGAAGGTAGAGGGACATTTTACTTGCTTCTGGGAGAGTTTCCAAAGTAACAGGGATGGTGAGCAGATGCACTGAAAAGCTAAACACAAGCATCAGTGGAAACAAATAAATATTCTGGAGAAACAAACAGTCACATGCACAGGAAAGTCCTGCCACTGACTGAGGCATCTGTGACTTCTGTCGTCCCCATCAGAGGAGGTCTCGTTAAGGGCAGGGGCTGTGTCTTATCCATCAGTCTGGGGCTCTGGAGGCAGAGGGTTCACTCTTCTCCATCACACTGGGGCTCCCAAGGACAGGGCCATGTCTCCTGCCGCAGACCGGGGCCCTTGGAGTCAGGGCTGTCTCTTCCACATCTAGTCCAGGGGCTGTGTCACCCCATCACACCATGAATTAGAGCCCAGGGCTGTTCATCTCCTTCGCAGCTGGGAATATTTCCTGGTAACACTGTGTGGGCTAAGTCATCCAATTTACACCCACAGTGCATGTGGCAACTGGGAGCATCCCCAGGGTGGGCATTCCTATGAAACCTCCAAGCCCGAGGCTCTGTTGCAGGGATGGTAGTAATTAGAGGTGATTATAATTTCTGTGCATTATTAATAACACACGAAACAGAAGACAAATGTAATAATGAAAATGTTGTGAGGTGTCATGAACACACAGTAATTGGAATTATAAGTAAAGAATGAGTTTATGTAATGAGATCAATGAGGCAAGAGCTTAAGGAATGTGTGCATTTGTGGTCCCGGATAATCCCATTCAAGAAAAATTTCCCCCAGAACTACTTAGCTGAGGATGTTTTCCCGGAGAAGGAAAGAGCTGCTGGTGGCCAGACACTGAACCTACATGGGTGAACGTGTAGGTCTGAATGTGTGTCTGGGTCAGGGTGGGTGGAGGCTCTGGGGGATGGTTACGGGAGAAAGGAAAAACTTTGAGATGACTTAACTGGTCAAAATGGAATTCTGCATCTACTTGTCTTAGTGTGTGCCCTCTGAGACTGTAAAATGTTATTGGTTTGGATGAGTAACAGTAAAAAGTTACTAGCAAAATGGTGATAATTATATGGCACCCCACTGGTTTATGTAAATCATGTCATCTAATCTGGAATGAAGCCTGTGAGTTGCCTATTGCTATCTCTGTTTTATAAGTGAGGAAGCTGGGGCCGAGGGCATTTGGTGGCCTGCCCAAGATCTAACAGCTGGTAAGTGGCTGAGCAGAGACCTGACCTTGACCCTGTGTGACTGCGCAGCCCCAGCTGGGTCCGTCTCGCCAGCCTGTTTACAACTTTCCTCCGCTGAGCCCCGGGCTCCACAGAGATGTCTCTGGCTGGGCTGACCTCACAACCCGTTTCAGTCAGTGTGGTACTGCATCTAGCTCTCCGGCATATTGGGGTCTTATGCAAGTTTTCACTGTAAGCCCAAGTTCCATGCTAACAGCGAGCACTAACCCAGCCTGTGTTCTGTCCGGCCCTATGCTGAGAGTCCTGAGTGAGCAGAGCCATCAACCTTATAAATGAGGGCCAGCCAGCAATTGTCCCCACTCCCTGGGATATCACCCTACCTCCTCCCACCCATGGGGCCCAGAGCTCCGGAGAGCCTTCTTCAGAGTCTGGCAAGGAGGTTAGGCCTCCCACCTAAGGCCCCGCTGCAGCAAGTGTGTGCTAAGGCAGTCCCCGAAACCCAGGCCTCTTAGCCTCTGGGCCCACGTGTTTCACTACCTCATAGCAGTCGACTAAATTTCGGCCCACCCCATTAGTGAAGCAAAATGAAAGCACGTGACCACCTACCAACACACCTTGGCAGAGGCGAACTCCACAGGCGCCGTCTGCCCCCCAGGCACGTGATGCGGGCCGTGCCCTCCAGACGGTACCCGGGGAAGCAGGAGAAGGTCAAGGTGTCGCCTACGCCAAACTGTAAGCCCTTCCGGATGCTGTAGGCTGGGACCTCAGGCTCCTCGCAGGGCTCCAAATCATATTCTGGAAAAGGAGCAGGAGAGCTGGGGTCAGAGGCAGAATATGGAAACATACACACAAAAACACCAGGGAGAAGAGGGCCAGAGATAAAGACAGAGAGAGGTCAGAATACATACACACCGACCCACGAAAGGCAAAGAGAAAAGAAGAATGATCCTAAGAGGAACAGAGGCACAGAGACATACAGTGAGGTGAGCAGCACCATGTTTCGGGAAGTGAGGACACCTCACCGCTGCAAGCAGAGAGAGGATGCGGTGTTTCTGGAAGCACGCTTCCTGAGAGTATTTATGAGGCTCCTCATGACTTGACCTTTCCCTCCTTCGTCCCTTCATCCCCATATTAACCCTAAGCCTTTGGGCTCGAAGAGTCTCCTGCCTCTCTCTCCCTAGGCATTGACCCAGATAAATTCAATCAACTTGGTTCTAGAGGGTCAGAACGTATGACCCAGCCGAGGGCAACTTACATCAGGAGAAAGAATCCAAATGCTTCACTCAAACTATGTCTCTGCAATGCTGGCGTTTGAGGCAGACGGCAAGCATGATGGGATGGCATTTATCAGCCAGGGATCTGCCTGATACCTCTAGTGACAGTACAGAAGTGACAATTCCATTGTGCCCAAGGGTATCTCCCTTCTGGGACACAGTGCCCCAGGGCTCTATGTGGTAAAGAGAAGGAGGGTCCCTCAGATGGAATGAGGCACAGTGGCTGGATATGTCCCACAGGCCAGACCTGCCCAGGCCCATGGCAGGTGGCTTCTGTTGGAGGGACAACGTTGGGTTGAGTGGGGCCATGTCCCAGTTCCTAGAGGCCAGGTATCTCTTGCCCATCCTGGGGGGAATCAGAAGGGGGCTCTGTGAAGCAATGGGACAAGAGTGGTGGGGGTACTTGGGACGAGAGCAGTGAAGGGGCCATTTTCTGCCTGAATGCCAAATTAAAGAGCTTTCTTTTCAGGATTCCTAAACACAGAGATAAATATCTATTATTACTAAATTAGTGTTGCTGAAGAAGTCCCCACATAAGACTCAAATACTCCAGTATGTTAATTTCAAATACCCTTACTCTTTTTTTTTTTTTAATTGCTGGGGTCATGAAAAAGTGGAAGTGAAACCGCAGAAGGATCTGGAATTACTAGGGCAGGAGGGAACGTCCTAATCCAACCAGTTGGGTAGGTGATTTTCAGAGTGGATCTTAAACACCTTCAGGGAAGATTTCCCCAAAACCTGCTTCCCAGCCCATTACGGGGGAGGTCCTCCTTGTGTCTAACCCAACTACCTTTTGCTGTGGTGGTGAGGTCATTCTCCCAGGGACTGGAAAGTGGATCAATATCCATCTGCTGGGAAGACCAGAGGCTGGCAGCAGAGGGAAAGGCAGAATGTTCTGCCATCTCTTCCCCGCCAAGGGACCCCGACATGCTTTACCTGCGAAAGTGATGTTGAATCCTTCGTAGGACATGGAGAAATCGGAAATGAAGCGGACCTGAGCAGTGAAGTTGCCATAGAGTCCGGCGCTGATGGGGGCCGGCAACCGCGAGCCGGTCAGCTGTCTCAGGGGCTGTGAGAAGCTGCCGTTCTCGGTGATGAGGAGGTAATCATGGCCGCTCTCCAGGTGGAAGGTGTGGAATGTAAAGAACACACCTGCCAAGAGACCGGAAGGGTCCGGGTGACAAACAGATGGCTGCAGCAGCCCCCATGCGAGACGGGGTCAGCACAAATATTTCTGACTTGTGGATGTCTATCAGTGGGTAGGGGTGCGAGCATGCACTGATAAATACATACAGGTGAACCGGAAGGAACGGGCCTGAATGATCCGGAACGTGCCATTCGCCCACAGGTCAGGGAGAAGGACACCGCTTTATGGTTGTCAAATTTGAAAGATTTATGGCTAGGCCCGTGAGAATGCTGCATAGCCTTTCATTCATTCACGGGTTCACTCATTCATTTCTCAACAAATGTTTATATTTGCCGAGTGCTTCCTCTGGGCTAGGATCCAGGGCCAGGGAGGAGCAAGGGGATATAGGAGATAGTCAACAAACAGCTAGAGTACAGACTGATAAATGCTCTATCAAATGTAGTTCCGAGTGTGCCGGGGGCAGAATGGCAAGCCCTAAACAAAAGCAATAATATTCACTAACATTTCAGCACTAACTATCTGTGTGTCACTAAGCCATGTGTTTTCGTTGCCCTGTAGTTGGCCCCTCTCAACTGGAAGAGAAGATCTGAAAACCCAGTTAATCCCACCAATAACTCTATGACCTGCGTATGACTACCCCTCATCTCCATTTTACACCTGAGGAAACTGAGGCATAAAGAGATAAAGTCACTTGTCCAGGGTCACCCAGCTAGCAGGTGGCAGAGCTGGGATCTGGGGGCAGTCTGACTGCAGGGCTGCGTAATCAACTGCTCCACGGCACTGCTTCTCACGCTATGGAGAGGGAACAGGCAGTAGGAGTGGTCAGGCGGCGAGACAGGTCAGGCGGTGAGAAAGATGGGGTGGCAGGATCTCAACACCCAAAGCGGCTCCTGGACTTGTCCACATGGCAGTCGTGTTTAGGTGGGCATATGTGTAAATGCAAGCCCACCCAGACGTCAGCGTGCCCACGGGAATATTTGCCGTGGACGTGCTAAGGGCAGGTGCTTGGCTAAACTAGGGGGGCTGGATCCACTTGCTATTCAAAGCCCATGGACCAGCAGCTTGCGCCTCGCCTGTGAGCTTGTTAGAAATGCAGAATCTCAGCCTCTGTCACAGACCTTCCAAATCAGAATCTGTATGCTAACAAGATCCCCAAGAGATCTGTAGGCACATGAAAGTTTGAGGAATACTTCTCTAGATAATTTCTGACAAGTTTTTGATAAATGATGGTTGGATCCAAGCTTTCAATGCTAAAATATTTTAGATGTTTTCATCGTCTTGCTTCTCTGTTGACAGGAGCTGGTGATCCCAGAGTATTTGGGATTCTATGGGTGGGGATAGGGGAAACAAAACCCCATAGAGGTGGTAGAACCAGGCATGCAGCTTGTAAATGTGCCTGGGCAACTGAGATGCAGCTATTGATCTATTTCCTCAAGGGAACAGATCCTAAGCACCTAAGTGCCAGGCCTGGTGCTAAGCAGTAAGAAAGATCTCCCAGTTTAGTGGAGGAGACAGACACATCCATGGTTAGAGTCCAGAATGGGGGCGTAGAAGAAGAGTGCCAACTATGCCTGGAGGGTTGGGAAGACTTCACGGGGTCACAGTCTTTGACAGGAGGGGTGTGAACATTTTGGGGATGTACAGGTATGTGTGCCCACATGTATCCTGTCCTCCCAACACATAAACACCAGTGCACACGAGAAACCGTTCTTAGTCTACAGAGCTTGGGAAAAGTCTCGGTGGAATATACGTCCTTTCCCGCCTGGCTAGAGCGCGGGTTGAGTGGAGAGTGGATCAGACACAGGACGGGGAATTGGAGTTGATGAAGCACTAAGCCTCGCACTCTATTCTTTAGCGTGCAAACACAGCTCCTCCATACGAGTAAACATTTGGCTGGCATTCTAAGGATGAGTAAACAACTGAGATGAAGCCCTGGGGTTTCCCAGCTGTGCTGATTGCTTGGGGCTCTTTTGGCCGTTGTGAGAAAATGAAGACATTGTCACAGAGATAGAGAGGCCCCATGTTGGAGTTTGAATCCAGATTTGGTGTGACAGATGCACACACAAACCAATACTTCACTGGAGTGACCATGCCGAGTCCTATGAAGGATGTGGATACCACGCCAAGCAGACATGCAGAGCTGTGGAAAAGGCATGGGCTTTGGTGGCGGGAGCACAGACCTGGGTCAACAGCCCATCTACGAGCTGAAGGGTCTGAGCTGAAGTTGCTCAGTGTGTCCTGAGTTCTAGTTTCCTCCACTATATCATGGGGATGATAGCTTTTCCTCAGAGATAACATTTAATTCTTGGAGCAAGGAACAATTAGGATAGCAGATGCACAGCCCACAGCATGGTGTCTGGCACAGAGTAGGTATTCTTTTTGCTCAGCTTGTCTAACTTCCAGGCAGCCTTATGGGTTGAAAAAATGTCAGTTCTGGGGTCTCAGCAAGGGCACATTCTTTGGACTCCTGAATTGTCCATTCCCTTTGGCTGGGAATTTGAACAATTCTGAATTTCACAAAGTTCTGAGTTTCCCCAGCTGTTCCTCTGCCTGCTGGGGATCAATCAGAGTCAGTAGCCTAATGGATCTGTTAACCTGAGATACTCTTACAGGCACTGCCCTCTGGAGAAGGGTCTGGGTTCGGTTTAACTCAATTCATATAAATATTTCTTGAGTTCCTTATGTGCTAGACATAGAGCCGGCACCTGGGGAAGCTGCAGGAAACAAGGCAGGCATGTCTCTCAAAGAGCTTAGAGTCTGTGTGGGGGGAGCAGGAAGGCACAGGATCATGTGGGAGCCCATGGAGGGGAACCCAACTCATACCCAGGGCTGGGGAGAAGGGGTCACGAAGGTTCATTAGAGCAAGTGAGTTCAGAAGATGAAGGGCTGGCCACACAAGAGGGAGGGTGGAGAGGGTGCAGGGGGAGAAAGTGTTCAGAGAGAATAGCATCCCAATGCACAAAGCTCTAGAGGACAATGAAAGCCTGGGAAGTTCTAGAAACTGAGAGAGCTTCAACATAGCTAGGACTTAGTAGTTACAGGGCTCAGAAGGAGGCTGAGAAAGGTGAGCAAGGGCTATAGGCTCATACCAGCTATTTTACAATTTCGAGCTCTATGCCTTATAAGGGTCTGGTGAAGACTTTAAGTGGTTCTAAGGAAGAAGTGACCTGGTCACACATCAGTGACCCCGTGTCAATTCTCTGCCTGGAACACCTCTTGTCCTGGCTAATTTTTGCTCATCCCTGAAGACTGGCCTAAGTTTCAACTTCAGGACACCTACCTAACCAAGCCTTCAAGCTGGCCTCTGGACGTTTGCCACCTCTATCTGCTCTTGGCCATGGTACATGAGATGGTCTATCTCTACCACTGGACTATAAACTTCCTGAAGGCAGGCAACGCCAGAGTGGCTTGTGCCACTGGGTTTTCCTAGCATCCAGGGTAAGTGCAAGTATAAAACAAGCATTTGCTAAATATCTGAATTGCATTGACTTCTAGGCAAAGACACATATAGAAAGGCATAGAGAAACATACCCTCCCTATGATTACAGATGCCAGATAGAAAGAAAATCACGACTTTTGGGGTTGTTCCTCTAAGGATCATGAGGGGCTGCCTTTCTTGCCCTCTTGATGCCACAGAGGACCTTCTGGCTCCTGCAATGGCCAACTCTGGCCCAGACTTGCTGGAAACAGCTCTGCAAGATGAACAAGGATGCTGCCCTGATCCCTCCTCTCCTCTATGGGGAGAAGGGGACAATGGGGCCTCACCCTGGCTGTCTGGAGGGTCCTTTGTCCCCAAGAAGCTGCACACCATCCTAATCCCAGTGAGGTGAGGCCTATTAGAGGCAAAAGTGAAAGCACTTAAGCACATGTGGGGAGACTTTAAGTGACTTTTCTTACAAATTTTCTTTTTTTACACAAATAGTATCATTTACATGTAATATAGTTTATTGCTCAAAATTAGAAAACAGTGAGAAGATAAAATAAGGTAAGATAAGAGAGTAGTAGCACTAACATCTTGCGGTATATCTTTTCAGACAGTTTTCTATGCACATATCCTTGTTTATTTTTTATAAACTATGTTCTTTTGGCAAACATCTCTTTTGACTTAACATATTGCAACTACTCCTGTAGGTCTTTAAATTTTTATTTTTTAAAAATATTTTATTTATTTATTTTAGAGAGAGAGAAAGAGAGAGAGGGAGAGGGGCAGTGGGAAAGGAAGGAGAAGAATCTTAAGAAGACTCCATGCTCAGCATGGAGCCCGACATGGGGCTCAATCCCACGACCCTGAGATCATGACCTGAGCTGAAATCAAGAGTTGGTTGCTTAACCGACTGAGGCACCCAGGCACCCCTACCCCTGTAGATCTTAAAATATTCTCTTCCATTATGCCTTTTAGTAGCTGCACAGTATTGCATTTTAGTAGCTGCACAGTATTGCATTTAACATTTCCTTATCAATGGACATTTGAGTAGCTAACTAATCTTCCAATTAATAAAGTGTTTTAGGAAGCATCCTTGCAGCTGAATCTTGATGTACAGTTGTACTTATTTTTTTTCATATAAATTCCAAGGAGTGGAATTGCTGGGTCCAAAGGCACATATATTTTGAAGGCTTTGGATTCACATCACGGAACCATCATCCAGAGAGTTTCAACCATTTCATAAAATGTCAGCGTTGAAGAACAGTATTTGTGTCTGCACACTGTCTCCCACACTGTTATGATTTTCTCTGCTGATTTGAAAAAAGAAATGATATTTCATTACTGGTTAAATTTGCATTTCTTTAATTATGAGTGGGGTCAATGTCCTTTCATTTCTTTTTCTTCTGTTATGAAGCATTTATAGCTTGTCTCATTTTACAGGACCAGAGACCAGATATATATTTTTTTAAGATTTTTAAGAGCTCTTCAGGCATCAGGTTGGTAATCTTTAGTTGATTATATATGTTGAAAATAATTTTGTCCACTTACTATCTGAAATTTTTTCTCTTTAAATTTTTTATT